GTGTGTGTGGGTTTGCGGTACACCTCAGTTTGCAAATGTCCTCTATCAGAGACTGAGACCTCACAGTCCAAGAAAGCCAACTTGCCATTTTTTACATCTTCTCGTGTGAACTTGATGTATTTATCCACAGAGTTGATGTGGTCAGTAAAATGTTGGACTTCCTGAGATTTGATTTTAACCCAGGTGTCGTCAACATACCTGAACCAATGACTTGGTGGTGTCCCTGAAAAGGACGTCAAGGCTCTCTTTTCTACCTCCTCCATGTACAGGTTGGCAACAATAGGAGAAACTGGAGACCCCATAGCACACCCATGTTTCTGCCTATAATATTGCTCCCCATATGTGAAGTAGGTTGACTGCAGGCACAGTTTCAAGAGTTGACACAGTTGTTCTGTAGAAAGTGTGGTCCTGCTGCTCAGAGTGGTGTCTGATTTTAATCTTAAACTGACCACCTCTACTGCATCATCAACAGGAATGCACGTAAAGAGTGATGTGACATCAAAAGAGACCATTGTTTCATCAGTCTCCATGATGACATCCCTCACCTTATCCACAAAGTCCATGGTGTTCTGTATGTGGTGTTCTGAGCTGCCAACTAAAGGGATGAGTACAGACGCCAGATATTTGGAAACATTGTAAGTGACAGAGTTAATCATGCTAACAATTGGTCTTAAAGGTACACCTTGTTTGTGGATTTTAGGTAAACCATACAGACTAGGTGTGGCCTCCCCTGGGTACAGTCTGTGGTACAGAAAACGGTCAATAGCCTTGTCCTGCTCCAAAATTTTCAGGCAATCTATTAACTTTTTCTTGTAACCACTTCCTGGATCTCTTTTCAGAGGTTCATAAGTGGTTAAGTCACTAAGGAGTGTCATAACTTTCTCATGATAGTCTTTCTGGTTCAAAATCACTGTGCACCTTCCTTTGTCTGCTGGGAGAATGATGATGTTTTTGTCCTTGCTGAGAGTGGTGAGTGCATCCCTCTCCTCTCTACTGATGTTGGAAGGTGGTGGTTTGGCATTGCTGAGGCAGGCTGAAACTTTGATTCTGAGCTGTTCTGCTTCAGCCTCTTTAATTTTGTTGTTGCGGATGGCTGATTCTGTGGCTGTGATCATCTCCACTAGAGGAATTCTACTTGGTGCAACCGCAAAGTTCAGTCCCCTGGCAAGAATCTCTGTCTCTGGCTGGGTGAGCTGTCTGTCAGATAAATTTTTCACCCACTTTTCTGTCTCCCTGGCATGTAATTGTCTACTGGAGTGTTGTCCTACACTGAATGTGCTGTTATTGGAATAGTGATGGTGTTGATGAGCATATGTTGAGGGAGTATCAGAGAAACTGAGACGTTTATTTTCTAAACATAACGTCCCAGTGGCTTTTAAACCCCAAAATACATTACGGCAAAGACTGGTTCATCCCAAAGATCCAGTCCCCCGGCACAAACAGAGTAATGTTGTGTATGCTGTTCAGTGTCAGGAGGGTGATCAGTCTTACATCGGGGAAACAAAACAGCCACTGGCCAAAAGGATGGACCAGCACAGAAGATCAACATCATCAGGCCAGGACTCTGTGGTCTACACTTATCTCCAGGCCAGCGGTCACTCTTTCAGGGATGAAGATGTTCACATCCTGGACAGAGAGGAACAATGGTTTGAGAGAGGAGTAAAGGAGGCCATCTTTGTGAAAAGAAATCGTCCATCATTAAACAGGGGTGGAGCCTCCAGGTTCAACTGTCCCCCTCTTACAATGCTGTGATTGCTAGTATCACTCAGCCCTCTGAGAACAGTAATCAGCCATCAGGTGCTAATCCATTGTTAGGCTGATGGTCCTTCTTGAGCATGTGATCAGCTGGTTCTGGTTGTCAGCAGCAAACTGGTTGATCCACTCTGAGAAGGTGCTATTTAAGAGACTGAGCTGAATACAGCTCCTCAGACTGAGGAAGTCTCTCGGATGAGAGACGAAACGTTTCTACATTTTTTTGTTGATTTGCTTTGTTTTGTTTTTTTTTGAATGTCCAGAGGACCAGATTTAACTTTTTTAGATTTTTCTACCTGGATTATTGAGCATGCATCAGGATATCCTTAACATGCTTTTGTCTTTCAGGTACACCTGGACCTACCATTCTGTGTTCGTCTGTCTCTCCTTCCTGTCCTCTCAACCAGCCGGTCAAAGCAGATGGTCTCTTGTCCTGATCCTGGTTCTGCTGGAGGTTTCTTCCTGTTAAAAGGGAGTTTTTCTTTCCACTGTTGCCACTGTGCTTGCTCAGGATGGGAGACTGCAACGAAGTCAAGATTCAACTTGTCTGCTGGATTCCTTAGATAGAGAACTTTACTAATCGTCTTTTCTATGTATGTGAATGTTCCTGTAAAGTGCCCTGAGACAAATTTGTTGTGATTTGGCGCTTTATAAATAAACTGAACTGAACTGAACTTAACTGAATTGAATTGAAGCACTATAACAAAGTGAAGAAACAAAAAACTGTTTAAAATGACAACGTTTTAGAACAAGGATCACTCGCCTGATTGATGATCTTGGGCCTTGTGTGAGTTAGTAGTTAGCACAGCACCATCAGATCACGTAGTGCAAAGAAAACACCTAAAATAAAGTGTAAAGCCAACAAACGACCAGCATGCGATACTAACAAACATTAAAGAACAGTAAAACAACTGTTTATAGTAAGTGCAAATGGTGTAAAGTGTTTAAAGTTGTTAAATTCTTGAGTAGACCAGAGCAATTTTTTCAAGTGACTTCTCCCAAGCAAGCTGGAACCTGAAGCCAGGTTTTTTTAATGATTGTCCACTGATGTCTGTAGCTCATCTGTGTTCTTTCTTAAAAATAGGTCTCTCTTTAAATGAGTCCTCGAGGCTTAATGAGACTAACCTGTAGAAATAAAGGTTGAATTGAATAAAACAGCTTACTCATTTAAAAGGAACCAGTCTACCCCCCCCCCCCCCCCCCCACACACACACACACACACACACACATGGTGTTGGGTCATACTGCATGGTGTGTACAGGATCGAGCCAGGAAACTCGATGAGCTGTAAAACTGTGATGAATGGAAAATTTTTCTCACATTTCTGTTTGTATTCTGAAAATCTTTTTTCACATTCAGTCCAGTAATAGTGATGTTCATGATGCCCATGGAAGATGTCCGTTTGTTTGTGTTTGTATCCATGTTTTTGGCCTCAGAGGCATCATCACGCTCTGTCGGACAACCACATTTACAGGTTGGACTTGTGAGAAGATGGAGAACTGCAGAAGAACATTTATGAACACAACTAAACTCATCCTGTTTAAAGGTCTGATGTTTGGTGTGATCACCAACACTGATGACCAGCCTAGATTCAAGGATTCAAGGTTCTTTATTGGTCATTCACATCTCATGTGGTACATGTGATGGATCAAAATTATATACCCAGAGTCCCAGTTACACCCAACAATAAAATGTAAAATAAAAATAACATCCAAGATATATATATATCTAAGATACCATTACCATAAGATATGAAATAAGAAAAACATCAACTAATTATACACTAAACACTAAAAACACAAAACTATTATGTCCAACAGCAGCACGAACATGAGTCTGTGTGAACAGATGAGCACGAATGAACACATCAACATGAAACAGATCAGCTGCAACATGAAACAGATCAGCAGCAACATTGAAACAGATCAGCAGCAACATGAAACAGATCAGCACATGAAACAGATCAGCAGCAACATGAAACAGATCAGCAGCAACATGATGTGATTTTTCACCGTGATTATTCTAGTTATAGATTCATGAGTCTAACAGCCTCAGGGTAGAAGCTGTTCCTCAGTCTAGTGGTTCTACACTTAATGCTCCTTAACCTCCTTCCTGAGGGGAGTGGGGCAAAAAGTGTGTGCTGGGTGAGTGGGGTCCTTCATGATGCAGGTGGCCCTCTTCCTGCATCTGGAGGTGTAGATGTCTGTGATGGTGGGGAGACTGACTCCAACATCTTCTGTGCAGCCTTCACCACTCTCTGCAAAACTTTTCTTTCTGCAGCTGTGCAGCCTCCATGCCACACGTTGATGCTGGAGCACAGGATGCTCTCCACTGCACACCTGTAGAAGGAGGTGAGGACTGAGCTTCTCAGTCCAGCTCGTCTCAGCCGCCTGAGGAAGTAGAGTCTCTGATGAGCTTTCTTCATCAGGCTGGTGGTGTTGTTGCTCCAGCTGAGGTTGTAGTTCAGGTGCACACCCAAGTTCTTGTAGCTGGAGACCACTTCCACCACAGATCCTCTTATGTTCAGGGTGGTGTAGATGTGTTTGTTCCTTCTGAAGTCCACAATCATCTCCTTTGTCTTCTTCACATTGATGTGAAGGTTATTCTCTCTGCACCAGCTCTCCAGGTGTTCCACCTCCTGCATGTAGCTGGACTCATCATTGTTTGTGATGCATCCCACCACCACTGTATCATCTGCAAACTTTACAATGTGACAGCCTGGATGGGTAGCTGCACAATCATACGTGAGCAGAGTAAACAGGAGGGAACTCGGCACACATACTTGAGGAGAGCCAGTGCTGAGGGTTATGGTGGAGAAGTTGTGGATACTCCCTAATTGGTCTGTTTGTTAAGAAGTCCAGTACCCAGTTGAAAATAGAGGGGTTTAGTCTTAGTGTGAATAGTTTGTCCATCAGGGTTTTGGGGATCATGGTGTTGAAGACAGACATGAAGTCCACAAAGAGCATACGGACGTAGCAGTATTTCTGCTCCAGGTCGTTGAGCGCAGTGTGGACCACAAAAGAGATTGCATCCTCTGTTGATCAGTTCTCACGGTATGCGTACTGATGAGGGTCCTCATTGATGTTGATGGTTGTTTTGATGTGAGTCATGACCAGTTTTTTGAAGCATTTAGCGACTATCGGGGTGAGGGCCACTGGCCGATAGTCATTCAGACCAGTCACTGTAGAGTTCTGATATTCTACCAGCTTCATCCTTGATGTGTAATCTTTGTTGTTCTTTCTTTGTAGAGACTTGAACAAAAATAACATCACTCGAATCACTAAAGTGGACTTCTCTGGCCTCAAGAACCTCAGGATTCTGTGAGTTTATCTTTATTTTTATGATTTATTTGTGAAAAGCTAATTTGTACAATATTGTAAACTCTACTAAGTTTGTTCAGTTATCCTGATGCATGCTCAATAATCCAGGTAGAAAATTTTCAAAAAGTTATGTCTGGTCCTCTGGACATTCAAAAAACAAAACAAAGCAAAAAAATAATAAAAATGTAGAAACATTTCGTCTCTCATCCTGAGGACTTCCTCAGTCTGAGGAGCCGTTTTCGTTTCCCAAACAGGGCCAGACCCCCCTCCCGCCGCTGCTGCGGGGGGGGGGGGGGGGGGGGTCCACGACCCTCGCTGACAGGGATTGTATTGGTGTTGAGTTGCCAGCTGTGGGTAGGGAAGCAACAAGTGTGTGTGGGGATAAAGGTGACAGCACGGAGGTGTGTGGTGGTGGGGAGAATGGTGGTGTTGTGGATGGTGAGGAGGAGAATCGGGGGGAGGTGGGGGAGAGAAACGGAGAGCGAGGAGTGCAGGAGGGTGATGAGGAGTTGGTGTGTGGTGATTGGGAAGGGAAAGGAGAGGTGGAGGTGGATGGGGAAATAAAAGGTGCAGAAAAGAAAAGTGAGGGGTCAGGAGCTGGTGCGGAGGGAGAAGCAGGGGCAGTTTTAGAGGAGATGGAGCTGGGGGCCGCAACCCAGGTGAAGAAACGAGGGAAAAGAAAAAATGTTGAAGTTGCTACACGGGCCAACAAAATGTGTGCAGAGATGGAGGGAGTGGAGAGCAGGGACAGTGAGAGCTGGTGCTCTGACTTCAGTGAAGCTTCTGTGTCACAGGCTGACTGCACTGAACCCCGTTATCCTGTGGAGACCTTCCTGTCTTTCCTCAAGCAAACAAAAGGGCTGAGAGAAGTTAAAATTGAAAGATACTTTCCAAACCTGAGAACGTTTTATGACTCAGAGACATTACATAAGGCACAAAACAGAATCTGGGTTCACTGAACAAGAAACATTCAGACTAAAGAAAATAATGAGCAAAGTCAGAAAACAATTCTGAACAAATGATGAAAAGCAGAATTTTAATATTCCTTATAGTCTTTTTGTACCTGCTTTTAAACCTCTCACTCAACATGGATTCTTTTAAAATAGCATCTTTAAACATCAACGGAGCTAGAGAGGCTGTGAAGCGTGCACTGGTTTACCAAACCATTAACTATAAAAAAAAAAAAATCGACCTTCTGCTTTTACAAGAGACATAGTGATTTATCCAATGAGACAGAGTGGCGCAGAGAGTGGGAAGGGGAGGCCATTTTTAGCCACAGCACCTCCCAGAGTGCAGGAGTGGGAGTCCTCTTTTCTAAAGCTTTCACTCCCAACCTAATAGAGGTGCAACACATTGTTCAGGGAAGGTGTCTCTTAGTCAAAGCTGGGTTTGAACATTTTAACGTAATTTTTATTAATATTTATGCTCCCACTGCCAATGCAGAGAAACAACAATTTTTAGAAAAAATTGGTGAAAGGTTGGGAGATCGTGGGTCTGAAGTTTGTTTTTATAGGAGGGGATTTTAATTGTACTGAAAACGAGTTTTTAGACCGCAATCATGCAGAGCCTCATCCAGCAGCCCAGCACGCTCTGCGGCAGCTGGTCTCGTCTCATGGCCTGGTGGATGTATGGAGGAGGATGCACACAGGCTCCAGACAGTACACGTGGTCCCACCTTAAAGAAAACCGTATCTCTTTAGCTCGTCTCGACCGTTTTTATTGTTTTAAGCACCATTTTAATGTGTTTAGAACATGCCAGATTTTACCTGTGGCTTTTACAGATCACTCGTTGCTTTTAGGTTTTATCAGAAACATTTTACCAAGAAGTGCTTACTGGCATTTTAATTCGTTTTTAACTTACGACCAAAGTTTTAAAGAGACTCAAGTTATTTTTGGACTGGTTTTAGACAGAGGAAGAGTGATTTTACCAGTCTGAAGAAATGGTGGGACTACAGGAAAGTTCAAATAAAACAGCTGTGTCAACAGTACACTCTCAATGTTACTCGTGACATTACCAGATCTATCAGAGATCTGGAGATTAATATAGTGGATTTAGAACAACTGAGTGAATCCACAGGAAATCGAAAGCACATTGAAGCTCTCAAATCCAAGAAGCTAGTCTTAGCAAACCTGCTGGAAACTAAAGTCCAAGGCGTGTTGGTCAGGTTCCGGATCCAAAACATCACAGAGATGGATGCTCCTTCTAGCTTCTTCTTCAGCTTGGAGAGGAAACACGGGCAGAGGAAGATGATCCACTCTCTGTGGTCAGACACAGGGCAGCAGCTGAGTGAACCAGGTCAGATCAGGAGGAGAGCTGTGGACTTTTACTCTGCTCTATTCAAGAGCGAGTATCGAGAGAATGAGGAGCTGCATCTGGATTTCTGCAGTGGGCTACCCCAGGTTTCTGAGGAGACCAACACCTCCCTGGAGCGCCCTCTGGGTCTTCAGGAGCTCCACGCAGCCCTCCAGAGCAAGCAGGGTCAGAAGGCTCCTGGCATCGACAGGGTCACGGTAGTTTTTTTTAAAGCCTACTGGGACAACTTGGCAGGGGACCTGCTGGATGTCTTCAATGAAAGTCTGCTCACTGGTTCACTCCCGCTGTCTTGCCGCAGAGCAGTCCTGACCCTCCTGCCAAAAAATGGGAACCTGCAGGACATTAGGAACTGGCGCCCTGTGTCTCTCCTCTGCACCGATTATAAAATCCTCTCCAAGGCTCTGGCAACTAGGCTGAGGGGAGCTATGGAGCAGGTCATCCACCGGGACCACACCTTCTGCGTCCCCAGCAGGTCCATGGTAGATAACATCTACCTAATTTGAGATGTTCTGGAAGTCTCCGGTCCACTGGGTTTAAAAACAGCCTTGATTTCACTAGATCAAGAAAAGGCTTTTGACCGCGTCGAACACGCCTTCCTTTGGAAAATCATGGAGAGCTTTGGGTTCGGTGCTGGTCTTATTGCCAAGATCCAGGTACTGTACATCAGCATTGAGAGTGTGCTTCAGATCAATGGTAGTCTGTGTGCTCCTTTTAGGGTGAGTAGAGGCGTTCGACAGGGCTGTGCGCTTTCTGGGATGCTCTATGCACTCTCCCTGGAACCCCTCCTTCAGAAAATACACTAGAGTGTTCACGGTCTGGTTTTACCTGGTTTTAATACCAACATAGTTTTATCTGCCTACGCTGATGATATTGTTGATTTTATAAGAGACCAACACGACGTCAACACGTTAACCAAGGTCACTAGAAAATGTTCTACCTTGTCTGATGCAAGAGTGAACAGGGAAAAGAGCCAAGCCCTCGCTGTAGGGGAATGGCCTGCTGGGCTCCCAGTTCTCCCTCAAGGTCTTGGCTGGAGGAAAGATGGTTTTAAATATCTTGGGGTTAATTTAGGCAACAAAAATGTGGTACAAAAGAACTGGGATGATGTAGAAGCAAAAGTCAAAAACAAGTTAGCAAAGTGGAAATGGCTACACTCTAAAATGTCATACAGAGTCAGAGTCAGAGTTTCTAGAGGCAGAGTGTTGGTTTTAAACAATCGTGTTGCATCACAGCTGTGGCACAAGCTGACAGTTTTAGACCCGCCTCCAGGTCTGCTAGTGAAAATACAGTCACAAATGATTAATTTTATCTGGGACGACAAACACTGGGTGCCACAGTCTGTCTTGTTTTTACCGAGAGAGAGAGAGGAGGGGGGCCAGGGCCTTGTCCACCTGGCCAGCAGAACAGCCACTTTCCGTTTACAGTTCCTCCAGAAGTTTTTGTCAGGACCTCCTGACCTTGTATGGAGGGACGTAGCCAGCTGCATTCTCAGGCATGTGAATAACCTGGGGCTGGATGCTGCTCTGTTTTTAACTGATTTTAGCCTTTTAAAGTTAAAAGGGTTGCCACAGTTTTATCAGGGTGTTTTTAAATCATGTGCCCTGTTTAAACTAAATCGTTCACGGACGTGTAATTCTCTGCATTGGCTTTTAGAAGAGCCTTTAGTCTGTGGGTCGAGGCTAGATATGTCTTGCAGTGCAGTACCGGGACTGACGGAGGTGTTGTGTGGATCCAAGACAACATCACTGAAACAACTGGTAGAGGCAGCTGGACCAGACCTTTCCAACACCCAAGCCGTGGTTTCTAGGCTGGGGGTCCGGTCAGCCAGACTTGTACAGCGCTTCCTGGACTTGGTGAAAAGAAAGCTGTCGGCTACAGAGAGGCGTCTCCTCCAACCGTTTTTTTTTACAGGGAAAAGTCCACCAGAGTCAACAGATCCATTCCCTGATCTGTTCCTGGATCCTGGCTTTGAAAAAGACAGTGATCCTCTCTTATCAAGCGCAAAGCCACAGCTGAGTTTACGCAGTACCGGCCCAAAGACTCTGTATAAAAACTGCGTAAGATTATGAACAAAAGAACCCTGCAGAACAGAGCCATCAGCGTGTGGGCCGACAAGCTGAGAGGACAAACCCCCCGGTGGAGGACCCTCTACAAACCACCTATAAAAAAGCGGACTGGTGATCTCCAGTGGAGGATCCTACACGGTGCCATCGCTACTAACTTGTTTTTATCCAGCATTAGTCCAGGGGTTTTAAATGAGTGTCCTTTCTGTGGTCTGTCCGAGAGTGTTTTTCATGTTTTTATTGATTGTAAGAGACTGACACCATTTTTTAGTTTATTGATGAGTGTTTTTAGCCTTTTTGGTGTAGTTTTTACTGATTCAGTTTTCATTTATGGTTTATATTTTAGCAGAGCCAGCAAATCAAAAGGTCAGCTTTTAAACTTTTTAATCTCTGAAGCCAAAATGGCTATTTATTTGTCTCGAAGGGACAGGCTGCAGGCCGGACCTCAGCTCGATGCGGTGACTCTGTGGAAGTGCAACGTCAAGACCAGGCTGAGGCTGGAGTTCTGCTTCCACAGTGCCACTGGGGATGTGAAAGGCTTTTTGAAGACGTGGAGCTTCGGTGGGGTGTTGTGCAATATACCTGCTAATGAAGAACTGCAGTACAACGAGCACCTTATTTAAG